AGGTTGAAATCGTTATTTTTTCTCTAAGTATTGACTGAATATCGGCAAAGTATATGGCCAATAATTGGTAGCTACTATTATTTGACAGACCCGGCTAACAGTCCTGGACCAATACAGTTTTGGAGAATTCGGTCCAATATGATCATTTTGACATTGGTGGGAGTATTGACCAATGCCTGGCATACAATAATCAGTTTGTCAGTACTTCACCGTAATTTGGCCGTATTGTCAGTCTTGGCAATTCTTTCATGGGTATTGTTGGAATGACTATACCTATGTTAATTGAGTGCAGTTTCTATTTTTATTGTAATGTTTCATAAATGAACGACTAAAAACAATATATTATGGCGCAGTACAACCTAAACAATATGTCAGCTGGCTAGTACAAGACTACGCACTTTCATCGAATCATCTGATGATTTCAAAAAATTTCATTCTACCTACACTGATTACATCTCTAACGTTACGATCACATCTGCCACATACGCTCACGCACTTATTTCTAGTAATTATTTAATACCCAAAATCTAATTGTATACAAGAGGTAAAAAAAACTATCGTGTAGTACCGCTTTCTTCAATAAGGTAATATTACAGGCCAATTAATATCTCTTTAGGACGTTCATCACACATAGGTTTTTTTGACAGATATTATTCAAACATCAAACGTATATTCGAAATAGCATAAAAAATATTTTTTTTAAACTGCAGATCGTTTAACTATATACTTTTTTAATGTTTCATTAAAAAAAATCTCAATTTTACATGCAACATTTCAAAAAAATTACGTAAACATTTCATTTAAATGATCTGTAGGAATCTCCCATTTTTTTGGTATCAAAGATGATTTTAGATCAACTTATCAAATTTTTAAATATCTCTTTCAAATATCTTTCGGAATGATGAAAAATACTATCTGTTTAGTGACAGTAAGTCTTTGTTATGTTATAGGTTACAGGACATTATTGACCGTATGTCCCATGAAAGAATGCTCGTCTGGCCCAACACTGGTGTAACGTTGACAGCCGTTACTGCCAGTAGTGCTCGCCAGCATAGTTCTAACGTTAGACCAATGCTGGAATGATAAGATCGGGCCAATATACAGACTACAGTGTCGTTCGAATATCGGGTCTTGTTACTTGGTCAATACTGACAAATGCACAAACCCAGTATTAATTTTTAGATTGTTAACCTATAATTATAGTCATTGGTAACGTTTATTAGCAAAAATTGTGAAACAATGAAATGCAAAAAAGTCAATTTATTCATTCATAGAGTACACAAAAAAATGTTTGATAATTTTCAAAAATTTTGAAAAAATTTTTTGAAAAATATTTATTTATTGTTAAACTAAAAAGTAAATCATGAATAAATATTCATTCATACATAGGAAAGCTGCTCTGCCATAATATACTAATTTCTAAGTTGAAAGAAAAATCATTTCACTAAGAAAATTAGTTTGTTAAATGAATAATACGTTTGTCAATGCAATTTATAATTAAACAAATTTAATTAACAAACAGTAAATGAATAATTACATTGAAAATTAGTTATAAACCGTACCATAACAAGAAGTAATCGATTTCTCATTACCGGTACCGCTCATAGGAGAGTAGATAAGAGACTTGGTTTGGGTGCTGGAGGTCAAGGGTTCAAAACAAACTGGAGAGTTTTTTTTCAGAATTAATTAAAGAAAAATAAATTAAATTCAATAAAATTAAAAATGTGTGATGTGGTGTGGATGTGGGGTGCAAGCAGCCAGACCGTTTGGCTGGAAGGGGTATACCGAATGTGTGTCTACGAGGAGAGGAGTGGAAATGTTGACTATAGCTATATATCACAGCGCACAGCCGAAGCAAGCCACGACACGAGTTTTTCTCTTTTGACTGCAACCGAGTATATGCTATATATATTTAACTGATTTTTGCTTCCGCTCTTTTTTCTTTATTTTTCTCTTTTTTTATTTTGAAAAAAAATTTCAGCTATTTTTTTAAGGATGGCAGTACAGTTATAATCCCTAGTTTATTATTTTTCCCCATAATTGTTATGAACTGTAGAACAAGCTCCGAAGGTTATTAATAAACATAAGTGGCTTTTAGATTTCTAAGGGTCGAAGTTTCGGTAGCTAAGTTGGTCGATGCTTATGCCGTCGCTCGAAATGTTTTGCTTTCACGGGATCCCCGTATATTCTATGATAAGGGCTGTTTTTAAAAGCTGTAAATATTTAAAACTCACAAAAAATTTATAATTGAGAAAAATTATTTTCTTTTATCACACAACTTTATTACCACAAAATCAAAGTCCTGGAGCTTAATCTGTACATTTTTTTTGTAAGTTAATACTTCTCGTTGGCAAGGCCATTGCGCAATTTCATAATAATAAAATAAATTTGTGAAAATGTAAGTATAATTCATACATTTTAAAACTCACAAAAAATTATAAACATCTAATGTAAGAGTTAATAATCAATATTAAAAAAAAAAAATTTGGCATGTTTCTAAGGCATAACGAATTTTTCAAAATATATTATTAATTTGTGAATAAAAAAATAAACTATAACTTATCACGGTGAAGCAGAATAATAAAGATTTTATTTTTTAAACTAAAGCGTTAAGAGCGGTGTTTTCTTGTGCTCCACTCCTCTCCTCGTAGACACACATTCGGTATACCCCTTCCACGTCTCTCCAAAATGTGCGCCTATATGATCATTTCCACGCGAATCCACTCCTCTTCTCGTAGTTGCACGCTGTTTGATACGAGTAGTAAGATGTGCGCCCAGTTGGATGGCTGGCTGCGGCGGGGCGCTCCGATCTGACAAAAAGTCGTCTCGCATCGTAGCATTGGCGTTAGCAATCTCTCTACTCATCTCTGATTATATAGCCTGTTATGGGCTGCAAACTTTGTTAATTATTTTTCGTAGTTTTGAAGCATTATGGTACTTAATGTGTAGATTTTCAGTGTTAAGAATTTGTATTAAGGTAGCTCCCTTGTTTACTGCTCTAGTCAAGTAGGAGAGTTTCACTTGTGTATGTATACGTATATACTTACATCAGTGTTGGTATTCTGCTACCGTCAGTCATTTACAACCATGAAGCTAATTTTCACGTCTTTCTTGGCAAATGTCTTTGGAAAATGCCCGATTACCAGCATTTTACATGACAGTATTGAGAAGAACAGAGATTTTTCTACAAGGACATCATAATTTGTCTGATCAGGTTTTTTTATTGTGAGTTGAGAAATGCCTGTAAAGCTGATATTTTGATGCTCTGCCATTTGAGCTTGTGTTAAACAATTCAACTTTGAGCTGAAATATTTCGAGATTTTGTTCGACCCTTGGGGTATATACAAGGGAACCGTTGGATTCAGTAGATCAAAATCTATTGAATGGAACATATTTCATTGCGTTGGTTTCTGCAAGGGAGCTACCTTAAACAGAAAGCAATTTTTGTTACTTTATTTATTTATTTATTTTTTTTACTATAAAATAATAGTTGTTATCTGTTTAAAACAAATTATTGACACTAAAAATCGATACTTTAAGTATCAAATATGCATTTAAACTACAAAAAACAATTAACAAAGTTTGCAGCCCATAACAAGCAATGTAATCATATTATCCAGCATCGCCTCGTTCTTCCCATGCAGGTGGCACTATTTTAGATGACTACAAATACCCAATACCCGGTAAATTACAATTTGTAAACGACACTATAACAACACATTTAACGAATCCAATAATAGCTGTTGATCGACAATATACATTTATATATATTGTCGATCAACAGTTATTATTGGATTCGTTAAATGTGTTGTTGTAGTGTCATTTACAAATTGTAATATACCGGGTATTGGCTATGTATAGTAGTCTAAAATAGCGCCACCTGCATGGGAAGAACGATAGTGTGTGTGTGTATATGTATATATTACTAACCTACAGAACCACACTAAAATGTACACATACAACAGCGCTCACCATTATGATGTTGTTGTTACTTGAAGGCCTTTAATTATTAACTTAATCTCATTATTCTCGCTTTCACACTCGCTCTTCTTTTTGCTTGTTCCCCTGCCGTTCTCTTCTCCTTCTCTCTCACATAAAATATAACGAAAAGACAAACACACGTACGCGGGCATTAATAACGAGTCTCAGGCATCGAAATTTGTATCGAGTCAAATTTTGGTGTTTTTGGTCCAACAAGAAAAATGAACCATATCGTAGCCTATTATCTGCTTTAGAAACGTTATTCGTATGCACAACCTTATTTCCAGTATTTTCACAATAGTTTTAGAACTACTTATTCTTTCGACACTATTTTTAATTTTTCTACTGTACTTACTTTAATAAAATCAAACTTATAACACTTTTTTGTCTCACTGAAGTATCTTTTATTCTATAAACAATTGTTATTACTGTAAATAATTATATTGAATCCACTGCGGCAAACGGACGAAATCATGCGGACCACTTTGCCGCAATATCAGTAATTATTATCCTACGAAACTTGAGTAGAGTAGAGTAGCGTTACAGATCTGTACTGGATTTTAACATCATAATACTTTAACTATTTCCTATGTTCGTGGATATTTCAAATTACTGCTGACCCCACAAAACGGTATATAAAAAGCCTTAGTTGAAAATTCCAAGAAAAAAAATCTGTTTTCTTAAACACGATTAGTTAACTTGCTTAAATCTGATCTAAAAAAAATTTGACTCCATGCAAAAATTTTCCATATATCTCGAAGTTTACGAAGAAGTTGTCAAGCTGAACACCACATTTTATTATCATGAAGGTCTTTTGACTAGTTTACAATTTGCATGTTTCATTTAGCGGATTTAGTCTCTACTGAATGCTTTGTATGTCTCGCGCTCGCATTTCGTTTCTATATATATTTAACTACGTTTACTATAAAAACATGTAGGGATTGAGAAAAAATACTTTTTTTGAATCTAAATTACTGTACATCTAATCGAATACCAATCTTATTACTGCCACGTTTCAGGTATGATTGTCACGAGCCATCGGCGCGTAGCAATGCTAACCAACATTTTTGCTGAAGCGACTGATTGGCTACCGCAATATGAACAAGCTGCTTCTGACGCTGCTTGCGATGTTCTGCTGCTACTGCTGCGACCACAACGTTACGGAACCTCTAGTGCCTTCGAGGGTAGTGATATCGAGCGCCATATAAGCTAAAAAGGAACAATAAGAAGACGACGATGACAGGGTGAGGAACTGAAGATGATTCCACAGCTCTTCTACGTCGGCAGGGCTTCCACGACGACATGCATCCAAAGAAGCACAATGGATCAGACAACGAACCGCTAAATCGGCTACGTCACGATCAAGACGAGTTGCTGTTACATAATCGTTTTTGCAAGACAAACCACATCATCGTACAGTGTTGCGATACGGGCTTATTGATGGTGTTTTATACGAACTTGATCATAAGGCCTCTGACAATTTAACACTGATAAGCGTATGTAAGAGACTTAGGGATAACTAACTTATAAATATAAATGCTAATGTTCTAGGCCCTGGTTTCACGAGGTAAACATATATAGTATTATGGGTCGCATAGAGTACGATTATACAAATATGTTAAAATAGATCATATCTGTACATAGAGAAAGATAACACACACACATTAATACATACGTTACGTACATGCCCATTTTATTTTTTCAATTGTCTCCATGTTTTGATTGTGAGTGATATTTTTTTCGATAATATACCATACTGTAATGAAAAGCGTGCTTATTATGTCTGCGTTTTTGTGTACATTATTTAAATAATTTTTGTTATATTTTGTTTTATAATAGAAATGAACTAATATCCATTATTAAGCTACTAAGTGTATCTTAAATTACTTTCAAATACCAATTGAACGTTTTATTGAAAGATTGTTTTTTAATGATTATAAAATATGATCTACTTCTGCACAATTAGAAAAGCTGATCAATGGTCAGTGCCTGCGATATATAAATTACATCTTTAAAGAATTTAAGAGAATATGTTGTTACCGTATTTTTTTGCTATCATAGAAGGTTTTGTTTAGTAGATAAAAATAATAATTTACTGAAAGAACGGTAAGGTTCTTTTGAAAATATAGCATACCATTATTCGTTAATTTTTACGAGATAATGTGTGTATTCTTAGATTTTATGGAAACTTTGAATTTCATATAGCCTATTATGTATTTGAATTTCATTTTTTCTTCGTGACGATTCGTTAAATTAGCTATCTTTTTCAAAATACTTTGGAGAAAAAAAACGTGGACTACCCACTCATTTTTTCTGTTCATTAAATAATAAATAATAACGACAAAAAAGTCGATTCATCGACAAATACGCATGGCAAGAAAGATTTATATATCAGTAATAAGTTTTTAGTTCCAGTGGCTAGGAAATCAACGTATCCTTTTCAGCCGCAGGAACAGAAAAAAATCCAGCCAAAAGTAATATAGTAATTTTTCAAAGTTTTACCGACTGCTGTATTTTTTATTTATTTATTCATTATTATTTTTTAATAACTTTGTAACAAATATGAAAGACTACATTTTTTTATTTCAAATCATTTTTTTCTTACTATTACTGTTTGATACATAAATTGATTTATGTGCAGTAGTAATAACGCATGCCTAGAAAAAAACGAAACGGTCGATACGGCTTATTCGCTTTGAGCGCAATTCCTAAATCGCGCCCCCACTGGGCACTTAGAGAACGATTGGTCGTGATTAGAAAAGGACAGTACTATAAATTGATTTCCATATGCTTTTAGAGAAGCGATATTAATGGGTTGGCCACCTAGTGAATGGAGCTGAGAGCTCGATTTCATAATAATTACCTTTTCTAATGACGACCAATCGTTCTCAAAATTATTAAATTACTTTGTCACTTCAACTTTTATCATTGTGAAATTTTTTGATATTTTTCATATTAAAAATTAATGCATGTCAAGAAACATTTTTTTTTATACCACCAACAAAAAAAAGCTACACGCTACAAAAAAATTTCTTTTAATTTTGTCTGAGAAAAAAATTTTATAATTTTTACCGTCACAGTACGGAAAAATTACCGTACAGTTTAGTAATCGTAGGACAGCTTACTACTTCTAATCCTATTACCGAGCCAACACTAAATCTTACCGGGCTAAGCGGTAAAAATTATGTGTTGTTTTCATAATTATTTCGATAGTTTATTACTTAGTTATTTTTGTTTTATCGTGTTGAATTATTTTAGTATCGAATTACTGAATAAACACACACTATTTTATTCATGCAGTTGTATCTTTTATATTTGTATATGATAGCGTTAAGGGTGCAGTCCCATGGCGCGCAAAAGAGCGTGCAGGGTAGAATCGTCTCCATGCGCTAATGTGTGAAGTCTATCCTGCTGCTGAATAGACCTATTCGCTGGATGCAGGCAGTTGGAGGGGGTAAGCGAAACGATCTAAGCGCCCACTGAGAGCATTTAGTGGAGCTTGAGTGCCGAAGCCTGCAGACGACGCCATACATATATTTGTTAAGTAATTTCTAAACTGTCCTCACCAGAAAGTTTTCCCTCTCAGCTGTAGTCTGTCGTCTGCACATTTTGGCACCCGAGATTTATTTTTTCGACGCTGTACTAGAGACGCTGCATGCTATGCACGGTTCTATCCAGCACTCTCTATTAGGATTGACTCCATTGCACTAGCACCACTGTCCTTGGTTAATCTCCATAAAGTGGCGAGTTTCATAAATAGAGAGAGAGAAGGCTCGTGACTATCAGCGCCATTAGCTTTTCTGTTCTTACACATAAACACATTACACATTGCAGCGTTGGCCGCGATGGTGAAAAGGATGAGCCCAGCCACTTACTTCAAAGCACATCTCTGCCAGCCTCTGATTTCAGCGCCACCACCGACCAATCAATAAACTAAGGCCGTTGTACGTAGTAACGCTGCAGACGACTGATTAGTAATTGTATACTCTTTTAACTATATCTGTATAGGTAGTAAACAAAGCAATGTAACTTTGGATACTGCATATTGCTTGCTGTCTGCCTTAATTAATGATAAAAAAAAATAATAACACAAGCGCCAATCCCCACAGAACCTGGAGCTTTCACTGTCTGCTTTAATTATTGATAAAATAAAATAATAATGCAAGCGCCAATCCCCACACAACCCGGGGCTTTCACTGGCTGCTTTAATTGATGATAAAATAAAATAACAACACAAGCGCCAATCCCTACACAACCTGGGGCGCTGACTGGTCGTTTACTTAACTTACTATGATTAAAATAATAATGCAAGCACCAATCCCCACACAACCCGGGGCACTTTCTGGCTGCTTTAATTATTGATAGAATAAAATAATAACACAAGCGTCAATCCCCACACAACCCAGGGCTTTCACTGGCTGCTTTAATTATTGATAAAATAAAATAATAACACAAGCGCCAATCCCCACACAACCTAGGGCTTTAACTGGCTGCTTTAATTATTGATAAAATAAAATAACAACACAAGCGCCAATCCCCACACAACCTGGTGCTTTTACTGACTGCTTTAATTATTGATAAAATAAAGTAATAACACAAGCGCCAATCCCCACACAACCCGGAGTGCTTACTATTCGCTCACTTAATTTACTGTGAATAANCTTGTGTTATTTCATTTATTCAATTAATAAACAAATTGGCCGGTACGCGGCCCAGGTTATGTGGTGATTGGCACTTGAATTATTCTATTTATTCAATTAATAAACAAATCGGCCAGTAAGCGTTTCGGAGTGCGAGGGGATTGGCGCTTGCATTATTTTATTTATCATTTCAATTAACAAAGTGACCCTTAAGGGCCCTAGGTTGTTTCGTAATTGGTGCTGGAGTTATTGTATTGATTATGTTAATTAACAGAGCAGCCAGAAAGCGCCCCAGGTTGTGTGGGGATTGGCGCTTGCATTATTATTTTATTCATAGTAAGTTATGTAACCGACCAGTAAGCGCCCCGCGATATGTGAAGATTGGCGGTTGTGTTATTATTTTATTTTATCAATAATTAAAGCAGCCAGTGAAAGCCCCAGGTTGTGTGGGGATTGGAGGTTGTGTTGTTATTTTATTTTGTCATTAATTAAAGCAGTCAGTGAAAGCCCCGGGTTGTGTGGGGATTGGAGCTTGTGTTGTTATTTTATTTTATCAATAATTAAAGCAGCCAGTGAAAGCCCCAGGTTGTGTAGGGATTGGAGCTTGTGTTATTATTTTATTTTATCAATAATTAAAGCAGCCAGTGAAAGCCCTAGGTTGTGTAGGGATTGGCGCTTGTGTTACTATTTTATTTTATTAATTAAGGCAGACAGTAAGCAATATGCAGTATCCAAAGTTACGTTACTTTGCTTACTACCTATACAGATATGGTTAAGAGAGTATATAATTACTAATCAGTCGTCTGCAGTGTTACTGTGTACAACGGCCTTAGTTTATTGAATGGTCGGTGGTGGCGCTGAAATCAGAGGCTGGCAGAGATGTGCTTTGAAGTACGTGACTGGGCTCAAACTTTTCACCATCGTGGCCAACGCTGACACATTGTGGCGGGGTTCCGAAGTTTTGAGAGAAGTCTCTGAAGGGCCGATCCCAATTGTGCTCCATGTGAAGGCAGCCTAACGGTGAAACCGAGAGCTTCTCTGAGATTTGTGTATTGATAAAACCCGGAAGTCATTTAAATATTGTGTTGTTTTTCACTGTTGTTTTTTTTTCTCAGCACATCTTCAATTCGTGCGAAAAGTATGATTTAAATTACAGATGCTTTTAGACTAGATTTCTTGCCTTGCCTGGCTATGTTTTGAGGTTGTACTTGCTTTAAAAATGTTAACGTGACCTTAAAGTACCCAAGCTGAAAAACATACATGATATTATTTACCTGCATTCTGATAATCATAATGTCAACTCAGCCAAACATCTAATAACCAATAACACATTTACATATTAGTATATTACGCATCTAATGAGCGAGGTTAAGAATGTTACAGATTTCACGTGAGTAAATGCCCGAGGCGAGGCTAAGGGTGGTTAACGTGAAATCTAGGTTATTTCTTAAC